TCGCTGTCTAAGTCATTGATGAAAACATTAAACAGCACCGGTCCCAGTAGGGACCCCTGAGGGACACCACTCCTCACTGGTCTCCATCCGGACATCGAGCCATTGACCACTACCCTGTGGATGCGACCATCCAGCCAGTTCCTTATCCACCGAACAGTCCATCCATCAAATCCATAGCTCTCCAATTTAGACAGAAGGATATTGGGGGGGACCTCCTTTCTCACCCAGGCAAAGCAAAAGAAAGCACAAAAACCCAGCGTCTCCCGAGGCTGCGGAGGTGGGATGGGAGTGTTGCCGCGTCGAAGCCTACGAGGGGCGTGGGAGAAGTGCGTCCTGCGTTCCTCCGGCTGCCGGGAGAATTTGTGCGGGGCGTAGCATTTAAATTAATTCCCCTGTCTGTCCGGGCGCAGCAGGTTGGCGCCGCTCCTCCCCGTCCTCGTGCTTTCTTACGGGGATCGGTAACGTCCGTGCTTCATCCTGCTCCGGCGAGGAATCCCACAGGAGGAAACACCATTCCTCGTTGAGCGGCAGGGAAGTTCGTCCTCCGGGTTGTGTTCATTTGCCTAATTGCGGACACGCGTGCTCATCAGTGCCGAGAGCTGGGTATCCACACAGCTCTGCGTAACGCCCGATAAGCCGGGATTTGGGTGGGGAAGGGCTCTCCCGCTCGGGTTTGGGCAGCTGGGATGGGTGATAACCTGCGGAGCGCTGGGGGAAGGGTGGGTATTTGGTCTCTGGAGACCAAAGGGTTGAAGCCCTCTTCAGGTGGGAGCTGGTATTTGGCCAGATAAGTCCAGTTTTTCCTTGGGAAAGGTTTTTAATGTTCAACTAAAGGGGAAAAAAAAGCTGATTTAACTCCTTCCTTGCACTTCCATGGGCACCTGAAGCCGGAGGGGCCAGAGACCGGACTCCTGCCCTTTGAAGGGACCCGAATAGCTCTGTCCCCGCGCCGCGTCTCACCCGGGTGGGACGGCGCTGGGTGGCCCCGGCAGCCGATCCGCAGCTCTGCCGTCGTGTCCGAGCTCGAGCACCTTTGCCCGGGCTTTTGCTTTTGGTTCCGGGCTCTGCCCCTGTGGCTGGGTGGGAGGATGCTCTGCTTTACGCACGGCGGAGTAACGACTCTTGGCCATCGTCACGGCTCAGAGCGGCTGCTGGGAGTCAGCTTCTGAAACGATTTCTATTAAATACGTGTCCGTACGCTCAGGGGTATCGCTGGTGGCTTGTAAAGTAACGTTGTTCAGCAAGTTCTTGTTGCCACGTGGCCTTTGGAGTATGGAAAAGCATCCGAGCTTGCCGGGGAATGGAAACAGCCAGCTTTTTGCATAGTTGCAAGGACCCGGAGACATCCTTCTCCCGGGAAAAGTTGGTAGCATGGGGCTTGAACGCTCTCGCTTTTCCCAGCCAGCGGCGAGAGCGGCACGACAGCATCCAGAGGACGATGAGCCCGAGCTGGTGCCAGCTGGAGTGGCTCCGTGCCGCGCTGGGGCACGGTGGGCAGCTCCCGTGTGACGCCCCTGGCACAACGCGATAGCCAGGAAGGCGCTCGGGCCGGTGCGGGTTTGTGGTGGTGCCATCCTGATGGCTCCCCAGGGCAATTCCTCCCGTCCTTAAACTTAGGCTGGGCAGGAGTGGTGGTGGCTTTCGGCCAGAGCCCGAGCCGTGGGGTATAAAAGAGGTGCCTGCGCTTGTCTCGGAAACCCGGGTCTGGCTTCTCCCACGTCCCGTGGCGCAGGGCCCCACGGCGTGGGGCATCGTCTGACCTCCAGGGGCATCCCGAGCTCTTGGTTTGGGTCAGGGCTGGCTGGGTGCCTGGTGGCTCTTGGGTTTGGGGCCTTGTCGATGAGTTTGGGGAAAGCTGGGGGGCACCTTCTGCTGCCTTCGTGCCAGGAGGGCCCTTGCCGCGTCAGAGCCTGCGGGATTTGCTCTGCCGAGGTGCGTCGTGCAGCAGGTTACGGCAGGAGGGAGGGTTTGGAGCTCTGACCATGGGTACCCCCCTGTCCGCTGTGCCCCTGCCTCCGCTTTGGCTGACCCCCCTGTTTGCTGGGGCCATGGGGGGCTTTTATAAGCTCGGAGGGGCCAATGG